AGTTCATACCGTAATCCTACAGTAATGAAGAGGGATTGATAATTTCAAGATTTAATTTGCATCCTTATTAAATTTTTTCTCATCTTTGTTGGCCATTGAAAATGTGCTAATGCATAGATCCGAAAGCTATTTTTCTACTCATACCATAATCATAGTTTTTTTCTCAAAGTTCAACTTCTGAGCAGTATAATCATCGCTTTAGGTGGGCAAACCCGACCGAATAGCTTTGGAAGACATCCATTACTTGATTCGAAGAGATCCGAAGAAATTTGCTAGGGTGAAGGTGAGTGCTTGAGATTTCTGTGATTTTACTCTACAAATAATTCGGAAGAAAGCTAACGAATTTTAGGATCTCTTGTCGATGAGCGAAGAACTGAAGAAAGCTCGCAAACAATTTGATGACGTAAAGCAACTCTGATTATATACCTCAAGGGCTTTATGTATATACTTTGTATAAAATGTGTATAACACTATATTTTGAGATTATACACGTGGTGTTCGGGCATTCCTTGTGATACCTGCTTGACTTATTAGCTTTATGTATTTTTTCTCTGCTCATGATATATTTCAATCGTTTTTTAGATTTACAATGGGGGCCCGCCCGCGCGATACACCCGCCACAGAAGGCTCATATGGTTTCGTTTATGGAGTGTCGGGACCTGTCGTTACAGCTGAAAAGATGGCTGGATCTGCAATGTATGAGCTTGTTCGGGTTGGCCATTCCGAATTGATAGGCGAAATCATTCGTCTTGAGGGCGATTATGCGACGATTCAAGTTTACGAAGAGACGTCATCCGTCACTATCGGTGATCCTGTGCTTCGCACGGGCAAGCCGCTGTCTGTTGAGCTTGGTCCAGGAATTATGGGATCAATTTTTGATGGAATTCAACGCCCTCTGAAAGAAATTGCTGATATGACGAAGTCGATTTATATTCCGAAAGGAGTATCAACAAGAGTTTTCACGCTGTCTCGTGAAAATCGCTGGGATTATACTGTTGGCAAAGGAGTAACTGTAGGCTCCCATGTAACTGGTGGTGACGTGATAGGATATATACAGGAGAATTTACTTATTAAGCATAAGATTATGGTCCCACCGAATTCATGTGGTACTGTGACTTTTGTCGCGCCATCTGGACAGTATACCGTAGAAGATGTGCTGCTTGAATTGGAGTTTGGAGGGACCAAGGAGAGGCTTACTATGCTTCAAATTTGGCCCGTAAGGAATCCCCGTCCTTGCGCTGAGAAGATGGCCGCCAACTATCCCCTTTTATGTGGTCAAAGAGTGTTAGATGCTCTTTTCCCATGTGTGCAAGGAGGAACCACAGCCATCCCCGGCGCGTTCGGTTGCGGGAAGACGGTAATTTCCCAGTCTTTGTCCAAGTACTCCAACTCTGATGCAATCATCTATGTCGGATGCGGAGAACGCGGCAACGAAATGTCTGAGGTATTGCGTGATTTCCCTAAACTGACAATGGAAGTAGATGGAGTTACAACTTCGATTATGAAAAGAACTGCTCTCGTAGCAAATACTTCAAATATGCCCGTAGCTGCTCGAGAAGCTTCTATCTATACAGGAATTACCTTAGCCGAATATTTCCGCGATATGGGATTGCATGTAGCTATGATGGCTGACTCGACCTCTCGTTGGGCTGAAGCACTTCGTGAGATTTCCGGACGTCTAGGAGAAATGCCTGCTGACTCGGGTTACCCAGCTTACCTGGCTGCTCGACTGGCTTCCTTCTATG